TTCGAAGAACAAATAGGTAAATCAATGGAAGTTTATATTGATGACATGCTAGTTAAGTCCCTGCGCGCATAAGACCATTTGACCCATTTGCAGGAAACGTTCGAGATTTTGAGGAAATACAACATGAAGCTCAACCCCCGAAAAATGTGTTTTCGGGGTCGGTTCGGGCAAGTTCCTCGGCTTCATGGTGTCAAATCGGGGAATCGAGATTAACCCCTATAAAATCAAGGCCATCGAAGACAACACCATCGTGGGCCGGGTGAAAGTTGTACAAAGGCTAACGGGACAGATTGCAGCCTTAGGCAGATTTATTTCGAGATCATCAGATCGAAGTCACAAATTTTTCACTCTACTCAAAAAGAATAACGATTTCGCTTGGACCCCGGAATGCCAACAGGCATTAGAGGAACTAAAACGATATCTATCGAGCCCACCACTACTTCACACTCCAAAAACAGACGAGAAACTTTGCCTATACTTGACAATATCGGAAATCGCAGTAAGCGGTGTCCTAGTTCGAGAATAGCAAGGTACATAATTTCCCGTTTATTATATAAGTCGGATCATAGGAGAAGCATAAACTAGATATACCTACCTAGAAAAATTGGCACTTGCACTGATAAACGCCTCTAGAAAGTTAAGACCATACTTTCAATGTCACCCCATATGCATATTAATCACTTACCCGTTTTGTAATATTTTGCACAAGCCCGAACTATCAGGCCGATTGGCCAAATGGGCCGTCGAACTCAGTGGGTACGATATCGAATATCAACCTCGTACGACTATCAAGTCTCAAATTTTAGCAGACTTCGTGGCCGATTTCACGCCAACCCTCGTACCCGAAGTTGAAAAAGAACTCCTGTTGAAATCGGGTACGTCATCGGGGTATGGACCCTTTTTACGGACGGGGCTTCGAACGTGAAGGGGTCCGGGCCAGGCAAAGTTTTAAAGCCACCCACGGGTACCAGGTTGACTAACAACGAGGCCAAGTATGAGGCCATGATTGCAGGTCTCGAGCTAGCTAAAAACTTAGGAGCAGAAGTCATTGAAGCCAAATGTGACTCTTTGCTGGAGGTAAGTCAAGTAAACAAAACCTTCGAAGTTCGAGAAGATAGAATGCAAAGGTATTTGGACAAACTACATGTCACTTTGCACCACTTCAAATA